AAAAAAAAAAAAAAAAAAGAGGAAGAATAAAGTTCCAGGCCTCTTTATCTCTCCCTTTGTTTAAAAAAAAAAACAAAAAAAAAACTAAAAAATATTATCGACCTCATAGGCTGTCATGAGGATTCACTGAGAGCACCTATCTAGGCCTTAGCACAGTGTCTGCCCACAGTGACGATTCCACGCGTGTCAGCTAGTCTCATTTTCTTCCATTCAACAGTTCTGAAAAGCAGTCAAGAGTGAACTTGAACCTCTGGAGCCATCTGGGGGTGCAGCTTAAAGTACACCCCCCCAAAAAAAAGTGGTCTGTGCAAGGGTGACATTTTTGCAGAGTCTGCTTTATAATGTCCTATCAATTTCTAATTTGATTCCATAGTATGTTTGCCTGAATACAAGTTGGATGCTTCCAGTTTCTCACCACTGAGTCCCCCAGGGGCTGCAGGTCCCTGTCCTGTTCCTCCAACCTGAGAGCATCACAGATAGCTGTGCTGTGAGAGACACGTCTGGAACCCAGCATAGCCCCCTCCCTGAGACAGATGCCCACACATACTTGCCAAACCATCCAGGGCAGAGCCCAGCAGGTACCAGGTGGCACTGTTGCTGCTTTGGGTTCTCTTTTCTGACCATCTCTGGGGACTGGAGAGGACATGGCTGCCTTGGGCAGGAGGCTGAGATTCATCTGCTCACGCCCCACACTCCCAATCCCCATGGCCCCCTGGCAGTGCCCAGGGCAGGCCGCCCATCTCCACGTCTGCGCATTCACCCTCAGCTCCCGCTGGGCAGGAGTCCACTGGTTCGTCCTGGGCCTGCCCCGCTGTCCGTGTCCACTCACCTGGTGGTTGTCCAGGTGGTCATGATCTCGGGGAGCCATGTGATCGAGGTCGCTGAACACAGGCCAATCTGGGCGGGGAGGAAACGGGGATGATGTGCCGGCTCCGCGAAGAGGACAGGTCACAAGACCGGCCCATGGCCCAGAGCTGCCTGCACCTGCCACCAAGCTTTTACATTTTTAAGAAAAGGTGCAAAAAAGGGAGAAGAATGTCGTCAGCAGCTGGGGGTCTACAGTCCGTCCTCCAGAACTTTCTCCGTGTCTGCCACTGGACAGCTTGGGGCCCTGAGCAAGTGGCTTACCCTCTGTGCCTCCTCAGGGTTGTCATAATGCAAATATGTGTGTGCACCGTGTCTGTGAACACGTGTGCCTGGCCCACACTCGGCCCTCATGGGGTACAGTCATGAAGGAAGAAAAGCCATTTGTACATGTGGGGACCAGTGAGGAGCTACAAGTGGGGCGGGGCTCAGATGGCTTCAAAACCAACCACTGGCTCGAGCGCCCACGAGCCAAATGTGGCTTGTCTCCTGTTTTTAATATGTTTCTTTGTTATACTTTTAAATGGTTGAAAAAAAATCAAAAGAAGAATAGTATTTGGGATCGTTGAAAATGAAACTGAAAATTCAACATCCACACATGGAGCTTTACTGGAACACGGCCACACATGCTTGTGTACGTGCTGCTTATGGCAACACTCAGGCTGGAAATGCAGACGCCACTGTTCCCTAACGATACGACTGGTCTTTGTTTGTCAGTGTCTTATTTAGAAGGTCTGCATCGTATATTTATAAGTGAGGTTCGAATAGTTTTCTTTTTCGCTGCTTTGACAAGTTTTGCTAGTTCCATGAAACACACTGGAAATGCTTATGGTTTTCCACAACAGGGGTTGTCTTTACAGCAGTCGGACAGCCTACGTTTTCAACTCGCCCGTAAAACCCTCTGGGGCGTGAACCTTTTGGGAAAGCACATCTGATTTCCTAACATTAAGTGAAGCCCAGTTTAGCTGTGCTCCTGTCCCCTCCAATCACAAGGACCAGGGGCCAAGCCATCACTCACGGAGGTGGTCCAGTTTCTGGCTGTGTGGTGTGGCCGAAGACGGGGAGGAAGGGAGAGAGTCGAAGGTCGTGTCGCTCATGTTCTCGTCTCCAGAGTTCTCCGAAAGGCGGAGGAGCAGGGGTGGCCGGCTCCCAGACAGGGTCCTCACTCGGGGGCTCCCACACTTTTCCTCTGTCCCCCTCAAAATGGTCTTGGCTGATTGCTGGAGAATTAACAGGGACGCTCATGTCACATAGGTGCCCTCGGGGGAATGGAGGGCTCTTGCTGTTGCTGCTTGCTGTTCCCTCGAACCCTGAGGCCCTATGGCTCTTATCCATGCCCGTTTAGGGACTGGCAGAAAATCTAAAAATAAGCAGTGGGGGATTAACTGGCAGGCCTCTCAGAAGGGGCATGTGGAACAGGAACTCGAAGGGCCTGCCAGCCAGCATTCCCCAAAGCGCCGACCACACTCCACTGCCCCAAGCTGGGGAATGTATGTCACTGCATGGCCAGAATCCCAAGCTGGTCTTTGTCGACATTCTCTGACATCTGGTCCATGTACTGGGGATGCGGTGGGGGGTATGTGGAGGGGCCACGTCCTGGACACAGTGAGGTGCCCGGAGAGCCAGGTCAGGTCTAGTCCAGCCATTTGTCGACACAGCACACAAAACACACACACACCACACACCTCTCTTTCTTTCTCTCCACATCTGGTCTCCTCACCCGGGTCAGAAATGGGCCCCAGTCAAGCAGACCCCAGGTACTCTATCAGGGGACATGTGGGGAAGCTCTGTGCACAGATTGGAAGGGATGAGGGGCCCAGATGGGACTGGGGTTCCTCCAGCCCTCGTGCTCTTCAGTTAAGCATGTGGGTCTGGGCCGCCATCACACAGGGAAGCACGGTTTGCTGGGCCTGGCAGCGCGGGCGGTGGGGGGGCCCTGCATGACTCCCACTGGACACCCACCAGCAGCTTGGTGTTCTGATTCACTGCGTCCTGCTCTCTTGGCGAGAGGTCGAAGGGCGTGAGTCCCATGCTCTCGCAAATCTGGTTGCAGGCATGAGAGTGGAAGAACAGCGCCATCCCCCGGACACCTGTGGACAGAGCAGGGGTGTCGGGAGCATGGCTTTGCTTTGTGACAAAGTCGGACAGGGGTCAGATGTTCCAGGCTCCCATCTCCAGTCTTGGTTTGGCCCACATGCCATCTGGGCCTGTTTTTCGTGGGTGTACAAAGAGCTGTGAGATTTGAGGGAGGGGCATGTGGTCTCCATGGAAACAGGTTGGCTTTCCCCGCCTACCTAGGTTGCCATCTCCGAAGTCGGTGCCTTTCTCCGTGTGGATCTGTGGGTCAGTGTAGAGGTCGCCTACACCCTGGATGTCCACCACAATCAGCTGATGGCCGGAGCGCTCAAATGTGAAGTGGCTGAAGGCCTGTGGGGGGACAGGAAGAAAAAAGGGACCGCAAAAGACCAGGCTGTGGGCTGTGGGCACATCGGCCAGCTGCTACTCTGAAAGAGTGGGGCACCCCAGCGCTGCCCATGGTGGCTTGTTTAGAGGAAAAGACAAAGGAAGGAGCCCTGTTTAGTTTGGCAGGGACCTCAGGTCGCTGACAGCGCTAACGTGGCGTGACAGGAGTCCCGTTACAGAATCTCCTTTGGGGTGTTCCACAGGGCTTGAGAGCCCTCTGGGGGTGAGACCCCATCCCCGCAGGGACGCTCCCCTCCAGGGGCCTCACCTGCGGCGTCAGGCGCATGGTGTCATCACGGACGAAGCCTGAGTTGGAGTTGTACTTGATGTACTTGCCCTCGATATAGTGCTCCAGGTGGAAGAGGGGCTTGCCTGGCCTCTCCTTCAGCTCCACCACGCACATCTGCATGATGTCCACCTGGTGGGAGGCGGGGCGCGTCAGGTGGGAAGGGGTCTCAAGGTGGCGGCCTCCTCTGAGGCCGGAGCAGAGGGATTGAGAGGAGCTAGCCAGCCAGGACTCCCGATCTTACCAACTCCCAGAGGCAGAAACGGCTGGCTGTCCCCAGAATCCACTGTCCCCTTTTCCTTTGAGGATGTAAACTTCTGCTATGGCCTGAATGTGCCCCCTCCCAAATTCGTATGTTGAAATCCCAACCCTAAAGGATGATGGGGTTAGGAGGTGGGCCCTTTGGGAGGTGATTAGGTCAGGAAGGTGAAACCCTTATGAATGGGGTTAGTGCCCTCATTAAAGGGACCCTACAGAGCTCTCTCGTCCCTTCCGCCATGAGGACACAGGGAACAGGTGCTGGCTATGAACCAGGAAGTGGGTCCTCATCACAACACGACCACACTGGTGCCTTGCTCTGGGACTTCCCAGCCTCCAAAACTGTGAGCAATAAATTTCTGTTGTTCATAAGTTACCCAGGTATTTTATTATAACAGTCCAAAGAGACTAACACAACCCCCATCCCTGAATTTTAACAAGATGCACAGCCATCCAGTAGGGATGACACTGCTCGGCCTCCCTTGCAGCTAGGTGTGGCCATGTGACTCAGCCCAGCCAATGAAAAGCAAGTAACAGTGATGATGCAATTGCAGCCTGCCCCCCTCTCTCTGGTCCCTTCCTAAGGCTGAAAGGTGGACATCTGCCAGTGAGCCAGAACAGATCATGTGGTCTAGGGCATCCCCTGAGGGTTGGCAGAGCAACAAGACAGAAGGAACCAGGCCTCTGGATGACTTAAGGAAGCAACACACCAGCCCACCAAGCTCCCCATCAACTGTGGGGCTGTTAGATGAGAAAGAAACCATTTCACCTTAGCACACATTTGTGGGTCGGTCTGCTAAACCACAGCCTGTGCCTTACACTAATACTGTGAGTCTGGGCAAGTTATTTCATCTCTCTGTGCCTCAGTTTCCTCACCTGGGGAATGGGGATCTCAGACTTAGCATGAGGATGAAATCTTCTGGTGCACGAAAGACTGTCAGCATTTGTTAATGTCATTATTATCAGCAGACACAATTCCAGAGTGATATATACCAAACTGTAAACAGTGGTTCTCTCGCTGCAGTGGGGGATCACGGGGAACTGAGACATTCCTCGCTGAATTTTGCACCAAGTGTATGTTTAATTTTGTACACAGAAAGAAATGTGTGAGTGCTGTGTTTGGTTTTTAAAGTGGGGTAGGGAAGACCTGAGACTAGAACTCGCGCTGTTACAGAAGGACCCACCTGCAGCACCCTGTCCCCCTCGAGGCCACCAAAACAGGAGCCCGGTCTGGGTTTCCCAAAGAAATTACCACCCAGGGAGTTGCTTGGCTGAGCCCCTGGACAGGCAGACAACAGCTGCAGAGGCCAATGGGGCCCAGAGCGGGGGTCCAAGAGCTGCCCCAAACTCGGCCTTAGTTCCAACAACCAGCCTGAGGGACAGGTGCAGCCAGTTTTCAGAGGGTTCCAGCCCAAGTGCTGGCTCCCTCCCTACAAGGACGCCTGCGGCCGGGTCACCTGCTCACTCAGAGGGCAGTGGCAGGGGTGCAGGCACAAGAGGACAGCCAGCTTTTCCTTAAACACCCACATTCCTCTCCAATTTCAACCACATTATTAGGCGCTGATACAGAGTGAATAAGACAGGGGGAGAGAGGCTACTAAAATATTAACTAAATGAACAAGACTCTTCCAAACTAACTATTCTGAAAAAAACACAACAAAAAACAAACAAAAAAAACAACTACTCTGAAAAAAAAACTAACTACTCCAGGAAAAAAAAAAACCGCAACAGGATGACGTAGCAGAGGGTGACAGTGGTGGAAGGGCTACTTCATTTGGGGTGGTCTGGGTGGACTCACTGAGCAGGTGACGTTATGAGCTGAGACCTGAACTAAGAGGAGCTCGCTGTGCAAGGATGGAGGGGATGAGTGATGCAGGCTGGGGGCACAGCCAGGGCAAAGGCCCTGAGGCAGGAAAGGGCTTAGGGAGGAAGGAAAAGGAGTCCAACTAATTACCGAGGAGGTTACAGACCCTAAGGGTGAAGACTGGCTCTTACGTCCACCCCATGCGCTTGCTCAAGGGCCCTGCAAAGAGCAGGCACTCGATAAATTATGCTGTGTGTCTGGAAGTGCGGTGGTCCCCAGGCACCCAGGAGACAGTGCCCTGTCTCTAGTAGGTGCTCAAACAGTAGGTGAGCTGAGCTGTTGTGTTTAGGCACAGGAGAGGCCTGGAACGCTGGTTCCTCAAATGCCCGCAGGCAGCAAGAAATTCTGCTTGGTCTCCTGTCACTCAGCACCACGGGAGCGCAAGTGAAGGAGCCAACTGGGTAGGAACTGGAAAGCCCATATTTGAGCCCTGGCTCCAACCTTGCCCATTTGGGCAGGTCACTTAACCCCTTTGGGTCCTGGGTTCCCCAGGGGCAGACAAGGTATCCACTCCCTTTCCTCCTCCCGCCTTTTCTTGGGAGCCACAGTCTCAGTTCCCATAGTCTGGGTGGAAGGACCCACATTCCTGGCTCTAACAGTGGGCACATGCCTCAGGCCTGCCCAATCTGCATAGTCTCTCCCCCTGGCCATCATGACTGGCTCAGCGATAGGCAGCTGACCTAATCAGAGCCAATGAAACCCTGTCCTGAGACTTTCATTGGAACTCCTGGGAAAACAGGTATTGTCCCTCCACCACGGTTGCGGAGAAGACAGGAAGTGAGCCTGCAGCTGCTGGTGGCCAACAGGTCACAAGTGGAGAAGCTGCCTGGGGGTGACGGCAACAGAAGAACAGCGAGGCCGGCCGGAAATGGGGGAAGGTTCCCAACAACCCACCCCAGCGCACTCCTGCATCCAGCCTGGGGCCAGCGCTATTTCTCAATCCCTCGAAGCAACAAATTCCCCTTTTGGATTAATCCCATTTGAGTGGGTTTCTGTCATTTGCAAACAAAACTCCTGACTATTAGGCCCCACCTGTGCATGGGATGAAGCCATTCCAACTCACCTTGAACAACCTCAGCGCTCTGTTTGTGGGAATAAAGCACCCTGCAAATATAGCGCTTGGCCCACTGTGCTCGATAAATGGTGGCTGCTATTAGCAACTGTTAAGGGAGGAAAGGGGGCCGGCCGAGTGGCGCGATGGTTAAGAACTCGCTTGGGATGCCAGAGGGTCCCGGTTCGGATCCCACATATGAGGGCCAGTGACACTGCCCTCTACAGCTAAGATGCTGAACAACAGCTCAACCTGGAGCTGGGCTGCCGTGAGTCACTGGCAGGCTGCAGCCCCTGTGGCAGTGGGTTGCCATGGGCTACCGTGTGTGGCCAGCAGCCAGCGTGAGCGGCCAGCAGCCGCAGTGAGCGGCCGTCCAGAAGCCGGCGACTGATCTGCCTCGCCAGGGAAGAGCGCAATGATGCTGCCAACTTGGGCCAGTGAAGCAACGTCCTCCACAACTAGACTGAAGACCAAAATGACAGCAACTTGTCTGTTCCCCTTCCCCTTATTCCCCAGTACTGTTCCCATCCCCCCAATTACCCAATAAAAATCTTTAAAAAAAAAAACAAAAAAACAACAACAACAAAAAAAAAAAAAAGGGAGGAAAGGAACCTGTGACTCGTCTCCTGACCCTGTCCCCAGCTGCCTTGATGGGGGCAGGAGGCAGAGAGGGTGCCACACACCTGTTTGGGGGGCTTGTGCCGATTGTATTCCTCTCCCCAGAGCTTCGCCTCCATCTGTAGACGCACATCCTCAAAGTACACGTCCCTGTCCACCAACTCGATGTAGCGCTTTGCCACGTAGTTGGAGGCCCCCTTCCACTGCTGGGTGTGCAGGAAGTTGGAGAGCTTCTTCCTGGGGGGAGAGGGAGCAGGGGACCCGTCTGGGCACTTGGGTTCACAGGGACCCAGCCCTGCATCCTCAGGACAGGGAGGCCTGGCTGAGCCAGGGACATGATGCGGGAGGTGGGAGGGGTTTCCACACTGCACTGCACCCTTCAGAGAGCTTGCCAGGGGCTGATGGGACATTGGTAAAGGTCTCCTACCCCACACCCCTTGGCCTCTGAGGACCACAGCAGACATCAGTTGGACATTCCCTGTCCTCCCCGAGCCCATCCCCACAGCCAGGCCCATCATGTGGTCCAAGGGAAGCCAGGTGGAGAGGAGCCTAGGCTATGTACAAGCAGCAGAGGCCACCGTCTCGGCCTCTTGGCCAGAAAGGTCGCAATGTCCCCGCTCTCAGGAGCCTGGGGGAGTCTGCGCAGCGCCCCCAAGAGTGAGGTTGTCACTTACGTCCTGAAGCACTCCCTCATTGCTCCACGTCCGAAGGGCTGAAAGACACCAGACAGATGGTTAGCAGTCCCCACGCCCCACCAGGAAGCAACCCAGAGACAGGAGATGTTCCCTTTGGGCATCACCTGCCAAATGGGTACCCTGGACCTCATCTCAACCCCAAACTCCCTGGCCCTCCATCCCCAGTGCCAAAGCCTGAGAGAACGTCCAGCCTGGAGGCTGTGGGGATAAGAGACCACTCCACTCCCCCACCTCTGGGGGGTGAAGACATTATAGGGGCAACAGGGTCGGGGGGAGACGGGGCATGTCAAGGGGTGTGTTTGCTGTGGAAACAACGTAAATATCCACCAACAGTGTCACAGATACATTGCCAGGTTTATTTATTCACTTGGCACAATACAGTGGAGCAATGAGAAAGATCAAATTATAGTTCCAGCAAAAACATGTACGAACCTCTCACACAAAATGTTGAGCAAAAGAAGACATCCTGAAAAGAATACCTTTCTTCTGGTTCCACTGACATGAGATCCAAAAGGGGACAAAACTGAGCTGGGGCGACAGAATTCAGCGTGGTGCTCACCCCGGGGGGTAAAGGAGTCATGATGGGGCGGGGCTGGTTACACGGTGTGTTCCCTTTGTGCTGTTCTGGACGTGCGATCCACTGAAGAAGTTTCACAAAACCACCTTCCCCCTCACTACACAGGAAGCACTCTATTTCCTAGCCCATTCCTTTTTTTCAAACGGCTGGTAGCAAGCCACTGAATTCACATTACAACTCGGTGACAGGTGGGGACAGCCAATTTTTGAAACTGATATATGTGTTTGCAGTCAACTCATTTTCGACAAGAGTGCCAAGAATCTTTTGATATATGATTAATATATGAAATGGGCAGACATGCGCAATCTACGGGGATAAAAGGTAGCTCAGTGGTTGCCCACGGCTGGGGGCAGACGAGGAAACTGGGGACTGACTGCGTATGTACAGTGTTTTTTTTGGAGATGGTAAAATGTTCTGGAATTGATCGTGGTGATGGCTGCACAGCTCCATGACTAAAAACCACTGGATTGCATTCTTTAAGTGGATATGTTGGATGGTGTGTGAATCAATAGCTCAATAAAGCTGTTAAAAAAAACAAAACACATAATGCTATAAAGAATTCTTCAAAGTTAAAAAAAAATAAAGTGGGCATGGAGGAGAGGAAGCATGAACTGAAACGGACTGGAGAAAAAGCCCCCACTCAGCCCTGTGCCCACGGGGCTCGGGGACCCGCTCACCTGAGATGCCATCTTGATCAGAACTTCATCTTCCAGCCACTCCCCGGTGACGGCATTGTACCTGCAGAGACCAGAGCCCACCCCAGGGCACAGCGTCCATCACCTGATCCTCTCACTTGCTGGCTAAAGGCGGAAGACCTTTCTGGGCTCCCGACTGCCCTCGGGACCAAGCCCACCGGCCCAGCTGACCTGGGTTGGCGTGTGGACACTCTCCCTCCTTCCCTCCCTCCCAGACCCCACACACTGGCCTCTTTCCCCTTCCTCAGAAGCAGCGGTGCTGTGTGTCCCCCTAAATGCACCATGTCCCCCCAGCACTCACTGCTGGGCTGTGGGGGCCCCCCCACTGGCCTCAAACCCCCCAAAGGCAGGCCCAGGTCTGTCCTGTTCACCGTGCCGCCTGGTGCGTGTGGACGCTCGAACAATGCACGCTGGACGCATGACCGCCTAAGTAAACGTCCCTATTATAGCCAGGCGTGTCCCAGGATGGGAGGTGGCAGCGGCCTCGACCTTGCCAGGCACCTGTGCGAGGCCCAGGTAACTGGGTGAAGGCAGGGGTGGGGGGAGAGCCCCGCCTCTGGGTCCAGGAGAGGGGCTGCTGGATGCACTGCACAGCTAAGGCAGAGAAGATTCCAGAACATTTCCGTCTCTCCTCTCCCAGAGCCCACATACCCCTAGGGCTGGTCGGAAGCTCCTTGGCTCAGTAAATCTCCAGTGGAAAACCTCCCCCAGGGCTGAGGTGTTCTGAGCTCTACAGGCCTCGCTCCCAGGCCCCGTGAGAACAGGCTCTTCTGAGCCTGAAGCCTCCACGAGGAAGAACACGCAGCAGCCTGGCAGGTCACCTCCCCCAGGCCCAGAGGGAGGGAGGTTTGGCAGAGCTGCAAGCTTGGTGGAAACCAGCCGTGCCAGTTACCACGCTCAATAAATCATAATGATGATTACAATTACTACATGGAGACCAAGGTCCTTCCTCACCTTCACCTGACACTGAAAACTGAGAGGCACCCACAGGGGCATGTATGTGTGTGCACATGCGTGTGCAGTGTGTGTGTGTGTGTGTGTGCGCGCGTGCGTGCGCGCGTGTGTGCGTGCAGTGTGTGCGTGTGTGCACATGTGTGTGCAGTGTGTGTGCAGTGTGTGCACATGTGTGTGCGTGTGTGTGCATGTGCAGTGTGTGTGTGCAGTGTGTGCACATGTGTGTGCAGTGTGTGCGTGCGCGTGCAGTGTGTGCACATGCATGTGCAGTGTGTGCACATGCGTGTGCAGTGTGTGCACATGTGTGTGCAGTGTGTGTGTGTGTGTGTGTGTGTGTGTGTGTGTGTGTGTGTGTGGTGTCTTATTTGTCCTTCACGACCACTAACGTCATCGAGGTCAGAGCAGCTCAGCGTTCTCGGTGTCCACTGTGTGCAAGCGGCTTAACCAGGGCTCTTTAACCCAGCTTTGCAGCAGCCCTGTGAGAATGGCACAACTGCTACGCCCACTTTCCAGATGGGAAAACTGAGGCTCAGAGAGGTGAAGTAGTAGCCTGCCCGAGAGCCAGGATTCAGAGCCAGGCCAGTTTCAACCAGAACCTTGCTCTTAACCAGCCGGGGAACAACCCATGTGAACAGGAAATCTGCCCCAATAAAGGGCCGGCTTGTACCGGAGCACTTTTAAAACCAAGAGCAGGGGAAGCCCGCAATTTAAAAACCTCTGGAGGCTCTGGCCATCAGCATCTGCCCGCCCTCCACTGGCAGCCAGGGCAGGTGAGGGACACACTTTTGTTAGGAAATAAACAGTGTGGCCTGGTCCCTGGTCCCAGATCCCCGCTCAGCTCTGGGGCACACAGACCCAGCCCAGCACGTGGGTCCTGCTTACCCAGGGACTTCCTGTGTGGCCTGGTGTCCTCAGCATGGAGGCCATGTGTCACCAGCCAACCACCACGCTGCCCTTACAAAGCAGGAAGGAACAGAACCCACACCCTCCCCTGGGAGGCCCCCACCATGCTGACGTGGCTGCCAGCACAGACCCCAGAGCCCACCAGGAGTGGGACTTGGTGGTGGGGAGGGGATAAACACCAGGCTCTAGGCCCGCCCGCGGCTCACAGGCTGAGAGCAGGAAGACGCTGCAGAAAGGTGGAGAGGGCCCAACTGTTTGTGCCAGCCTAGCACCTGCTTGCCTTCTTGTGGTAACAGCACCTCAATGTCCCTCCATTCTCAGAATATGTGGACTGGGAGGAGCTGGCCCCCAGCACCTTCTGGCTTGTGGTATGTGCCCTGGACCTGGCCGATCAGAGCAGCACTCCCTGGCACGGCTGGTTCAGACATGGGCAGGTAACCAAAGCCGGGTCAATGACACTCAAATATGGAACTTTGGTGTAAAAAACTTTGAGAAAGAAAAGATCCTTTCCCATTGGGTGGGATGAAATGTAGGGCTCCCAGGGGCCCTCTGTGCCACAGATATGAAAGTGTCAGTGTGAGGTGAAAGCGAAAAGCATGCTTGGAGCTCCTGGAACCAGCCGTGCCTGAAGCCCATATGCATGGACCAGACATTCCCTTCTATCCTTAACCCACTGGGAGTTGGGTTTGTCTCCTGCGTTTGAAACAGTGTTCTGATGAATTCAAAGACTCTGGAATGAGTCAGGTTAGCTTCACTACCTGGGTGACCCTGGGCAAACCTCCCTCTCCCCTGGGGCAATTAAGGGAACTGAGAGTGTCAGCCTGGGTGATTCAGAGCTGGAGGGGTCCACAGAGGTCACAGGTCAGGGAGCGGGCTCCAGGGCCGGTCCATGAGTCCTCTAACATTATGAGCACAATTAGACCTAAGTGTGCAACTTTCTGAGATAGTCCTCATCAGATTCTCAAAGGGGTCTCAAAAGCTTATCATGGCTCCTACCTCAGACTTTACTTAATGGGTAAACACATACAGGGAGCTTAACACAGTGCCTGGCACAGGGAAGGTTCAACAAGTGAGGGCCCTCCCTCATCACCACCGTAACGCCGTCCGTATTATAACATCAGTGATGGTGTTTTGAGGGGGGTTTGTTTGTTTCTCATTCTTTTTCCTGAAAACATTCTTTCCCCACTCTGCTTTTTCAAAGAGGAAACCCAGCCACTTCCAGCTCGGTTTTGCAAATCTTCCCGGGGCCAAGGCATCGAAAAGCCGGTGTGCTGACCTCCATGCTCTTCCCTGTGGTTAACAACTGTGGGGTCATGCGTTGAGACAGAAGCAGCCTGGATCCCTGAGCTGCCCGCCCTGCAGAGCTGTTCAACCCTCCCCCAGCTTCCTCCGAGTGAGAAACATCCCCCCCCCTCCCTTGCACCAAGGCCCTGGGCTGTTAGTCATTGCAGCACAGCTCAGCCTCGCCTAGGAACACGTCCCTTCTGCGACCACGGTGAGGATCAGAGGAGATAATGCACACACGGTGCCTGGAGCATAAACGCTCAAATACTGGCTGTTGTTATTCTATTCCCTGTCTTCGATCCCCAAGGGTATTTAGGGTTCAGGATTGTGGGCAGAAGCGGGACCCACACCCTACGGACTCCCTGAGGCCTGGGGCCACACAGCACCCCCAGACAAGCTGCTGACCTGTGACGCGTGGCACGCTCTGTGGCAATGTCCTCCAGGTGGAACTCAGCCCAGGGGTCAGGCATGTGCTTGGCCTTCTCGATCGCGTGCTTCCAGGTTTCCTGCAGAGGCAAAGGGTCAGACCAGGGGCCCCGCCCCCTCTGGCCCTGCGACCTCCCAGGTGTCTCCCACCTCGGGGAGGCAGACAGCATCGGTGCCAGAGAAATACTCCCACCTACTATCCTTTCAGGAACACAGTCCCCGAGAGACCCAATTTGCTCTCACGTGGGCACACAGCCCTCCTAGGGGCATAAGGGACGCGTCTTAACCACAAAAACAAAGAAGAAACATAAAAACAAAGAAGAAACATACTATGTGTAATAAAACACACACCACTTGTAGTCCACAAGTTGAGAATGAAAATAAGGTATCATCCCCCATCCCCCTTGTTCTGATTGGCAAACAATTTCACGACTGTTAACACCGCGTGCTGGCCAGGATGTGGGGAAGTGGGTGCCCTCACATACCGTCCGTGGGTATTAACCTCTGCTAAGAGGTAATCTGGTAATGGACGAAAACGCAAACACATTCCTTTATTTTCGCCGGGCAGTTCTACATCTAGGAACATGTCCTACAGAAAAGCAAACACAAGTGTGCAAACATATATGTACACAAGGCGTCGCTGTTGGTGAGTGTGCAAAACTAAATTTATAAATATTATATAAATTATATATTATATAATTAAATATTATATAAATTGTATAAATGCGCCCCATTTGACCGCCCTAAGTGAAATTCAGAGGTAACTTAACCCTCTAAATGCAGAATGTATCAAAGTTGTGCAAAAGACAGGTTGCCTTCACATTATCATACCACTAAGCTCTGGGCTCAGATGCCTATGAGACGTGCCAAGATCCTGGGGATGCAGGAAAATTTAATGCCTGTAGTGTCCTCCCGCCACCCCCTCCCCACCGTGGTTGTGATGACCAAAAATATCCTCAGAAACTTTCAAAACCTGCTGAGAACCAGGGCTTTGGGGAAGATGGCCAAGGTCGTATTATGGTTGGGAATGCTGATTCTCAACAGTGTCACGGCACAACCCCAGTTTTGATTTTAAATAAGCTCACTTTATTGCTTTTATAACCCCAAGGTGGAATCCTTTCCTGTCCCCTCCAACCACTCCGACACCCACGCTGAGTAACCCCTTCTAGCTCTTTTCCTGAAGAGCCCGAACCTTCAGCCAGTGGCAACTACGGAATCTGAGACCAAAACTGCCCTCCAGGACAGAGGCCTGAGCCACAGGGAGGGGGCCGGATGGTGGGCTGGCCACTACCAGCTTCCCATGGACTCAGGCACAAAGAGACAGCCCAAGCCCATCCCTGGGATCCTGCTCAGAGGAGACAAGGCATAAGAACTGAGCCTTTCATGGGACAGACAGAAAGACACACGCTCGCATGCTCGCACGCATGGTCCAGGGCCCCTCGCTGGGGACCTGGCAAAGTCCATTTCTACGAAGTCCAAAAATAAAGCCCGTAATTTTTTTCCCTTCCAGTTTGGAAGCTAATTCACGCTTCTATATTTTCACACTTGAAAAATAAAGAAGACCAAGGAAATTCAAACTCGCCACAGGCCGTCCACCGAGAGCCACTACCATCAAGCTCTGCATTAGTTCTTTCCAGGTCCTTTACACCCACTTTTTCTTTTTTTTATAAGACCGGAATGACACCGTCAATAGAATTTACAGCCTTTCAGGAACATGAGTCAACAGGACTTGGTACTGTATTTAGCAACCTTGAATTTTTTTTTCCTGATTCCAAACCCATGGCCTGCTTAGCGTTAAGACACTGCGAGCACGACAGAATTCTGAGTTAGAAAGCGGAAGTCCTTTCTAAAACCCCCATTCCTCTGCAAGCCACAGCCGACAGTTAAGATATTCTGCAGCGTTTCCCCCTGCACTTGCTCACACGCACGGATCTGAGAGCAGTGGGACGGTGCACACAGGACCGTGGACGCCTTTCCACGTCCCACGTGCAGACAGGCTGGGTGGGCCTCACTGCCCTCCGTGGTTGTCACATTTACAGTGGTATAAATATTCGCAGGGATGTTTCTCTAACCTCAGTGTGTTGATGTTTGGATCCTCGCCAACATTTCCTAGTACAAACAGGGCTGAAGTGAACATCCTCGTGTGTGAGCCAAACTTTGGGTCCTTGGGCACGATCTCAGCCGGACATGCTTCTTGGAAGTGTTAATTGCTGGATCACAGCTAACATGTACACATTTGCAGGTTTCCTCCCAAAAGGTCCTCCGAAGTTACACTCCAAGAGGCAGAGAACAAATGACTAAGCTTTTTTTTTTTTTTTTTAACACAAACATGACATCATGAATTCACAAGTTAGCTGGCATAACAGTCCCCTGTATGGGTTTATCATTATTATATGTGCTGCCGAAGTGAGCACTGGGTTTATCATTACTGACTTAACCATTCCCGGGCGCTGCTTCACTGGTAGACTTTGAACTTCCCTGTTCTAAACCCTACAGCCGACATGTTTACAACTGAGGGAGTTTCTGAATTTCTGTCCTTTGAAAAAGTGCCAGGGTCCTCTGTTGTACGTTAGCGGCTGTGAATGGCGGGAAGGCAGTCTGTGTTCTGAGCGTGCCCTGTTCTCTGCCTGGGACACACAGCTTTCTAGCTGCACCCCTCTCAACTGGTGACTCAAACGTGCCCTAAGCCATCAAAGACAGGGGCCTCCACATTCAATAATGAGAAGTCACCTCCTGGCTGGAGGCTGTGGCATGAAACAAAGGAAGAAACAGTCAAGAAAAAGAGTATTTTAGAATTAGAGGGTGCGTTATTTCACAGGAACAAAATGACCTTTCTTTTCCAAACCCAGAAAACACACGTGCCATGCCTTCTTGTCAACAAATGGGTTTAATGCTACTGTTTTTTGTTTGTTTGTTTGTTTTTTAAGCACAGTATAGAAAGATCTGATTCCTGTGACGGGTCCCCATCCACTGCCGATGAGCTATGGGAACGTCCATTTCCTTGTCTACAAAGGACAACGAAGGATGTTTGGACTTCTGGTGGTCAACTCTTTTTCCTGCTCTCCAACCTGGGGCAGGGATGTTCCCACCTGAAACAGTGGCTCAGTGAGGTCATAGGGCTCTCACTGCCGGCACACATCCCCTGCCCGAGCTGAAAGTCGCCGGTGTGTTACGTCAGCCATCAATCAGGTTAGGAAGCACAGGTGTTTATGGAAGCCTGGGAAGCGAGACCTCTCCGACACTGTGAGGGCCGTGGCACAGGGACTGCCACCTCTGGTTATCACCCTTCTTCACGGACTTGTGACCCAGCTATTCCGATCACCCACCCCGGTGTGCCTAGGTGTGCTGGCCCAAAGATGGTTCAGGTCAGTGCTCCTAATGCTACATAACGGCTGAGCACTGCAAACAGTCTCCCGTCCACAGGGGATGACCTCATACACTTGTAACAGTCACGCGCTGCACAACGACACTTTGGTCACTGATGAACCGCAGAGACGACGGTGGTCCCGTAAGATCATAATGGAGCCGACAGATTCCTATCGCCTAGCGACGTTGAGGCAGTTATGTCGTGGTGCTTGGTAGTGATCATAAATGTTTCTGTAGTTATTATACTACACTTTTTATCGTCATTTTAGAGTGCACTTTTCCTACTTAGAAAAAAAGGACATCTCGTATCTACCATGTCTCTTGATGGCATCATTTTCTCTTGTGCTTCATTTAATCTTGCGTAGTTTTTATAAGTTTAGCACAGCCTAAGTGTCCAGTGTTTATAAAGCCTACAGTCGTGGACAGTCATATCCGGGGCCGTCCCGTCCACTCACCCCTCACTCACCCAGAGCAACTTCCGGTCCTGCCAGCTCCATTCATGGTGGGTGCTCCCCACAGGTGTGCCATTTTTTATCTTCTACACCGTATTCTTGCTGTCCCTTTTCTATGTTTAGATATGTTTAGATGCACAAATACTTACTATTACGTTACGACCGTCTGTAGTATTCAGTCCGTGACACGCTGTGCAGGCTTGGAGCCCAGCCTGGGTGTGTGGGAGGCTGTGCCATCCATCCGGGTTTGTGGAAGTGCCTTTGTGATGTTCGCACAGTGATGAAATTGCCTGACGGCACGTTACTCAGAACGTATCCCTGTTGTTGGGTGGCACATGACTGCACCTGCACGCAGCCGTTAGAAAGATCAAGATGCTGACACGGGCAATCTCGAAGGCTTATTGTTTAGGAGAAAAGCAAGTTGCTCCGTGATGCAAACAGTATGACCCCACTGACTGGCGGAGAAAACCCACGAATCGTGACTACAGATGTCTAAGGATGCATGTGTCTATAGATACATACATAAACGTGTATTTACATATAAATGCATTTCAAAGGGTCTGAAAAGTGATTTACACCAAACGGATACAAGGGTTCTCTCTGGGAATAGGACAGGAGGAGAGGGTACAAGCTTTATCTGCATTGTTTACTTTATTATTTTTTTTTTTTTTAGTGAGAATGTCTTCAGGTACTGCAGGTGTCAATCAAAGTTAAATAAAGAACTCTTACGGCCCTGTCAGCTCTAACATTCTCTAGTTCTAAAGGTCCTAGAACTCAGCTGTTGAGGGGGCTTAACCTTACACAGAATGGGGGGCCTCGTGGGTTTCATAAAACAAACGAAGAAACAAACAAAAAAACCCCACAACAGAACTGTGCCTAGAGAACAGAAAGGCTCTGGTTGGAGACTACAAATTAAAAGTAAATAAATAAAAATGTAATAATAGTAATAAAAATAAATTTCCTGGAACACGCCAGGAGTTAGGTTGGATGTGTGAGCCATGTGTTTGCAACTTCTTTGGCACATAAGATATTATGGCTGTTGCTGCCATATGGTTTTTCTATCACGATTCTGATTACCACCATCCCAGCAACCAAGGCCTCTGGGTCTTACACGAGAAAGCACCCAGGGGCTCCCCAAGGCCTCCTTTTCGAAACATCAACTGTCACATTCACCAGTTGGATGTTATAAAGTGTGTTGTTTGTTCCCCATCACCACTTCTGCAGACTTTAAGAGCTATGGCTCCATGTCAGCCCAACTCACCCGTCCTGGCCCGCAGCCAACCACACCCCAGGGCACATAAAGGAAGCAGGAAGAAGTGGAAACGCCCAGTCGCGCCCTGGGATGGAAAGAGGCCCACACTGCTGTGTGGCTGCCCCACTCTGGGTCACAGGCACTGAGAGGTTTCATGCGATTTCCCTGGAACCGAGCACTGAAAACAGCAGTGACGAAGCCCACAAGAGAAAAAGCTTAAGCCAACTGTGGGATGGCCACGCAATGGGCCGCCACGGATGGATCCTAAAACAAAAATGGCGGACTAGATCCATGTTTACTGATATGGAAAATTACGTACCATCTCTCATTTGCTGAGGGAGGAGCCGACAGCTGAGGAGCATGTGCCTACGACTGCCATGAAAAGTCCCTATCTGTTCATCTGTGTCTGTATTTACACTGAAGCCCAGAAGAGTCTGAAATACACACTAAGACCTTAATAGCAATTATAGCTGCACCTTCATCATTTTCTGCGAGGAACACAGATTACTTCTGTAATCAATAAAACGAATAATTATAAAAGAAACAAAGCTGAAAACCCTCAAGAGGTCTCTCTTTGTTGAAAACAGGAGCCGCAGCCGATGTCCCCTGACCAGTGGGATTCGGAGCCGTGGCTGCAGAGGGCACGATGGGAAGGGTGGGGGTAACAACCGGCAAAGCGACAGCACCCCCAGGATGACGTGACGCCCACCTTGCCTCCCGGAAGCCAGTCTCCAGGCAGAATCCTGGTGACCTCGTTAAGGGCAGGCAGGCAGGTAGCACAGTTTGCGAGTCCACGGATGGGGCACCTGAGGCTCAGAGGGAAAGGAGGTGACTCACCTACAGACCTGCAGGACCAGGAAACAGCGGGCCCAGGACTCAAACTCAAGCTGGTCAAGCCACAGAGATAGGGGCCAAACACAGACTTGGACCATATCACCCAGCAATTCCACTCCTAAGTGTCTACCCAAAAGAAACAAAAACATACCCACACAAAGATCTGTGCGGCACCATTCACAACAGCCGAAAGGGAGAAACAGCTGACGAACGCACAGACAGAGCGTGGTATATGCATATAACAGAGTGATATTCGGCAACAGAAAGGAATGACAGGCTGTCACATGTCACAACATGGATGCGCCTTGAAAATGCGATGCTCAGTGAAAGAAGCCAGACACAAAGGCCGCGTGTTATGTAATCCTGTTTATATGAAATGTCCAGGAAAGGCTAATCCACCGTGACAGACTCGGCCCTTCCCAATACACTCCCAGTACCTGCCAGGAGGAGCCACCCTGGAGGAACGCCAGGTTGCCATGTCAACAGTAAACAAAAAAAACACATTAGGGAGGTCGAGTGCCAGGGAGAGTGAGGTTTGGAAAACTGAGCTGCCGTCTCCCTCTGGAGTCGCCACTGGCCAAGGGACCTCCCTGAGCTGGCTTCGGATGACCTAGGACGGTGGACGGCCAAGAGCTCCACCTCGTCCATACACGGGCGTCCCACCAAGTTTGGGGACTGGGAGATGCAACCCTGACCGCCTTGCAGTCAGGGGCTGACTCACGAACAGAGAATGACATTAGAGGGTGACAGACGCAGGGAAAGCTCGGCCACCAGCCCCAGGGAAAGCCAAGAAGAAGAAGGCCAGCCGGATTCTGTGTCTTCAGCCCGGGTCCCCTGGGAGCCACCACCGTGACATCTGCCGAAAGGGGTTTCAGGCAGGCATGAAAGGGGAAGCCTATCCCAGGAGCGGGGTGACCCAACCAAGCCTAGCAGGTCCCTGGGGACGCAAGGCTCCCATCCTCAGGGAGGACTCTGAACTCGGCCTTCTTGATTTACTTGTTTGGGGGAAGGGGAAGTTACCTGGCTATTTTGCTTCATTTTTATCTTCTAAAAACATCTTTTTCTGCACACAAGTAGTACAGACACGTAGTTTTAAAAGTTCCAAATGTGTAAAACTACATATAATGCAGATCATCAAAGTCCCCCTTCCCGAACCCTCTCCCCCTAGAGGAAATCACAGTTAACTGCCGGATGCCCATTTTTCCACCATTTCTTCCCACATAAATACTAATATACGTATATATGTTCTTGATAAAAATGGGATCGTATGATATTTCAACTTGCTTTCTTACTTAACAGCATATAAAAACAAAACAGCACATGAAAATTAGCATAGATGGTCTTTATGGACCAGCACTGTGCAAGGGTTTTCATGGATTTCCACCCCCCCACACACACATAAAATATTTATATATCTTGGCAAGGGTTTCAAGTCAACATGGAAACATCATCTCTATTTTAATGCAAATACCACATTCTGTTTGTTAGGACCTGGTCAATACTTTAAATAGGCCCTTCTTGATGGACATTTGAGCTGCTTCCATTTTTTCTTCATTAAAAACAATACTACAAAGCACATCTTTGAATATGTAAATCTGAGCTCTTGTACAAACATTTCTCTACCGGTTCCCCACGGACAGCCAGCGGGTGTGTGTTTCAGGAGGCGCCCGGAGGGCAGGAAAGTGGGGCAAGCTGCAACCTGACCCCTCAGGGCCTCCAGCCTCAGAGGGGACCCACAGGGCTATTTCTGGAGCTGCCTGCCCAAGAGAAGCTGGAGCTAGAATGCTGACCCGGAGAGGAAAAGTTCTCCAACTGTCCAAGAACTGGAATGATTAATTTTCTAAAAACAGATTAATTCCGAAGTTAGAAAAGAATGATTTTGAGTTTCCAAAGCCGACGTGGGAGCAGGCCTTCTTCTGCCTGCTGGGCGCTGCACCTCCTGTCTGGGAGCGTTAAATGAAATAAGGACCACAGTACTGCAGTCACAATGTTTTCGCCGCCTGGGATTACACAGAAGTTCCCCCTTCTCCCCCTTCTCCCTCACACCAGCTTTGCCGCAGTGTGAACACGGGTGCCTAACAAAGCTGAGTGCCCCTTGCCTCAATCCAGAAGGAAGATGGATGACCATCCCTAAGCAGTGGCTTTTTTTACCGCATCCGACAGGAAGAACCACATGTCACACCTTGTCCCTGGGGCCACATACACACACATCAGGGGCGAAATAAAAATATTTAACAATGGCTACGTCACGAGAGGCTCAACTGGCCACCACGTTTGTGAGCGGGAACATGTGTCTACACACCTTCCACAAAGTAAGATATTTACAATTTGCAGGGCCCTCCAACAGTTTCTAGGCTCTTCCAGTTCTTAAAAAAGTTGGTCAAGGTTTTCACAACCCTGGAGTGGGCTGGTCCTGAGCGACTGTTGAAAAACACCACCCGAGAAAGTCATGAACTTGGTCTAAGCCAGCAAAATCCTCCCAGCTTAGCAGGTAAGTCCTCAGACCCGGAATTCAGAGCGCTGCCTGGGGTTTGGAAACAGAGGGAAGACCCCCACCAAAGACCCCGACTCCCCATCCCTGGTGGCAAGTGCCCGGGGCTGGAGCCAACGGAGCAGACGGTCCACTCACCTTAAAACTGAAGGAGCCTGCTGGGGACCCACTGCAGTCATACTGCTCACTTTTCGTTAGGTTGCCATAGTAGTTATTAACCTTGGAATTGACATTCTGGTGTGACCTGGTGTCATCGGTGATGGGGCAGATGAAGTAACCTTCCTCGTCCTCGCTGTCCGCTTCGGAGTCCCCGTCATGGCCAGCCCGGGGGGTCTGGCCGCCATCAACACCTTCCAGGCAGAAGATGAGGTCTTCGTCTGCCATGCTTCCGGGGTGCCCGTTTTACCCAAGGGGTGGGTGGCACAGCCAGAGTTACTGGGCAAATGCAGTGGGGATGGCCCTGCAAAACGGAAGCAACAAAATGGGTGCTGGGGCCTGGATGGGGGGCGAGGGGGAGCACTTCACCCTGAATGCCATTGGTGACAATAAGAGCTGGCACCCTCAGAGTGAAAACGGCAGCTCTCTTTTGGGGAGGCACTAGGCAGGAACATTCTCAATGTACAAACCCGTCAACCTAGGAATTCCACTTCTAAGAACTCAGTGCTTAAAACGAGGCCGGGAAAAAAAAATGCTCCTTAATTAAGCAACTGAAATGGTCTTTTTAGGACGTGAATTCAATCAAGTAATATCCTCCCTCCCTCGGCTTCTCTTCACGTTCATAATAAAATCCAAACGCCTTTTAAGGCGACAAGGCCTGGGTTAGTGTGGCCTCTGGCCACCTCTCTCCCGGCCTTGGAGGTTCGCCAGGCACACTGGCGTTCTCTCCGCTCCGTGAACACCTTGGGAGCCACGCTCACCTCAGACCCCCGTGCTTGCAGTTCCCTAGGCCGGGAACAACCTCCGTGATCTGCCAACATTGGGGCCCCAGCTCAAAAGTCACCTCTTTAGAGAAGTCTTCTCTGACTCCTCAATTCAAAGAACCCCCCATTCCTCAAAAAATTAAAACCAGAACTACAATATAACCCAGCAATCTCACTTCTGGGTATTT